CCTTGACGATTCACTTCTGGTTTCATTCTTCCTCATATCGCGTTCCGGGTGACCCTCTTCTATATTCTATGTAGCAAATTGAGCGAGTCAAGGTATAGAATTCCCCTAGCATGGGTATGGAGTACATATAAATTATAGATGAATTATGAAACGTTTTTGTTAGCACTCCCTGTCCGGTTGTTTATGAGTATGCTTGATTATATATCAATCCAGTTGATGAGGAGGCATTATCTACCACTCCTTCACTTGTTTTCTTTTTATGTAAGGCACAAAATCTATGTGCTTCGTATGTAGTAGGAGTAATATAGGAGTGTCATGTGAAGCCAGAAAGTCAAGCCAAAAAGGCAGCAGCAGCTGTATTATAAGTAGGACTACAAGCATGTATGATAGAATGGCAAGCTTTATTAGAATTCATGGAATTGTTGAGCCTTTTGATGAAGCGGTCAAGTTTTGAGAAGGCGGCGACTAGAGGAGGATGGCGAGTAGCCCAGGATCCATCTTACTCAAGGAAAACAAAACAAATACGCCTCTATTTGGGTGATCTATCAATCTCACTCTTTCGTACAGATACCTGGTATATAGGTCCTATTCGTTTAAATCTCTTTCTTGCCCTTATTGCTATCCAGCTTCTCTTTGTCCGACAACTGCTTCGCCTTCTCCCATTTCTGCACCAACCCCTCCGCTCCAATCCCCCCAAACACTAGCCCAACACCTATCCACTGCCCGCCGCTCAAACGATGACCGAACCACATCACACTCAAGAGCATTGTAAGCATCTTCCTGGTCACGGTAACTGTAACAAGTAGTAATGAGGAGAAACGCGCAAGAGTGTGGAAGATGAATAACTGGCCAATTGCACCGCAAGTGGCGAAGGCAATGACATCCTTTATCGCGGTTGGGTGGCGGAATAAGAAAGCAAGTGCAGAGGATAGTTCGGAGGTATCCGATAGGTCGATGGGGAGGGGCATGAGTGGGAGGATTGAGGTGGATATATGTGGCGTGACAAGAAGGTAGGTGGTTGTTAGGAGTGTGGAAAGAAGATTGTGCGCCACCATCATCTGCGGGCCGGTAAAGCCGGTGTATAGCTTCGGTGAGGAGAAGATGTGATCTTGGGTGGTGTTTGTGAGACCGTCCAGAAGGAGATTTATGGAAAGAAGGAAGAGACCGTAGAGGGAGGAACCGTTTCCATTGTTATGGCTGTTCTTCTTTTTACTGGACGTGGGGTGATGGAGGGTAAATGTTGCGACGCCAATGGTTACCAGGAGAATGACGCCGTACTTATAAAGCGGGTAGCGTTTGCGGAAGATGGCGAGGTGGAGGAACATTACTGGGAGGAGTTTGCAGGACTTGGCGAGAATGAAGGTCAAATAGTCAATGTGGCCAAGGCTGGCGTAGCCAAAGGGCGAGGCGAGAGAGGAGGATATGCTGATGAGGATAAGCGGGAAGACGATGCGCCTTGTCGGGAAGACTGGGGGAAGTTTTCTGCCTTGCGGCGTGGAAAAGTAGAGGTACACAAAGCCTGTAATGGCGGCGAAAAAGGACTGGATTGTGTTTAGGACGACGGGAAACTTCCATCGTTCCGTTGGCGGTTTGAGGTTCTCTGCCGTAGGGGGTGAGATGGGGTAGGCAGTGGTAGTGATGGCTTCTTGAAGGACACCCCACGACAAACTTCAAATAATTTCAACCGTTAGCTTTTGCATGATGAATGAAGCAGGCAACGTTTTCTTACAATGAAGCATATATTCCCCCAACACATAAAACCAATTGAAGAAGACCGGCGTCTGGGGAATGCCGACCAACCTTCTTCGAAGGTTGGTTGGAAGCGACACCATTGGTCTGCCGGGCATCAGGCTCTGGGAGGTTTGGAAGCTCGCCCATGATCCCGGACGAGGGAGCCCTCTGCAAGGGAGAGTTTTGTTTTTGACGCGCCACGGTGACTTTAATTAATGGGGCATTAATTAATTTCGCAAGGAGGGCGGTGGAGAGAAAGAAGTATTACAAAAAGGAGATGATATGGAGCGACGGGAGAGATACGCAGATCTAGTTACTCCATAGAGTGCTGGATCATGGTAGACAACAGGAAAACCTCTAGAACCAAAAGAAAGGGTTGTTCGAGTGCAGCACAACCCGCACATCGAGTGGAGGAGAAATGGGGTATATTGGGGTATATAAATCTTAGTCGAAATAGGGGGAAATGGACGCTATCCGCAAATTTAAGCTTGCGGTTTTGTTGATGCCATCTGTTCTAATCGCGGGCTGCGGAGTTTACCTAAGCAGCCCGCCGATGACCCACTCGAACAAGCTCAAGACTCCACTGCTTCTCGAAATATCAACCGTATAACCAATTGCCCATTTGTTTAAAAAAAAAAAAAAGAGCTCTAAATTACACTACATTGGATTCATGCTGCTGATAGTCTCCATTTGGAAGTTGTGTGACCTACAACGGTACAAACTTCGTCCAGGCGCGTAGCTCATCATCTTGAACCAGCTTACAGACACCAGACACTGAGAGGAAGCAGAGCTTGAAATATCTGCACACCAAGTCAAGACCCAACCCTCCCCTCAGTCACCTCAACTTTATCTTCCCATAACCTCCCCGCCACTCCACACCGTATGCTACTCCATTCCATACATCCATCATGCCGCCCGCCACAGCGACACCCCCCGTCCCTTCTGCCCTATCAACCCTTACACACCCCACCTCCCACAACCCCATAAGCTCCTTAACCGCTCAAATTCAACACAACCTCCAATACCAACACCGTTGGACATCACTGCGCATCCACTCTCCTCACACCCTCTCCCCAAGCCAAAACATAACCCTCATATCCGGCCTGCCCCCACAAACCCTCTACACCCACCCGGACGAACAAGCATACATGCTCGAGCACGGAATTAACCCAGATGACGTCCCTACTGAGCGTGAGTGGGTTATACCGACGGCGCAAGGGCAGGCGTGGAGCTTGAGGCGGTTAGCAGAGTGTTTTGATGCGATGTCATTGCCCGATAGCAAGCAGGCGGAAGGGGTTGAGAATGTTGTCGGAATGACAGTGGAGAAGGGCGGCGACAGCAGAAGCAATGGGGTTTCAGAAGTAAAGAGTGGAGAAGGCAAGGGGATGAAGACGGAAAAGAAGAGTAAGGAAGAGATATTTGCGGAGTATCAACGGCGGAAGAGGGGCAAGGAGTGGGGCGGGAAGAGGGCTTTGTTGGCCATGATGGATAGGGGCAAGGGCGGGGATGGGACGGTTGTATACTACGTTGTGCTCGAAGGGAGTGTGAAGCCTAGGCAGAATTGAGGTGCTTGGTGGTTTATAAATAAACAGAAACTGCGGTTGCTGATATCCGTTCTCCCCCGTTTTTGTTGGTGGAGGGAGGGGGGGGGGGGTTCACCTTAACCACTTGGTTTCAAAAAAACCCCACCTCCAGCGATATTGTTGCCTGGACTTGTCATTGGCTGTCAACCGCAAATTCATGTCCAGAGGATACGGGCCTGTATCTTTTGAATCTGGATTTGCTCGCAAGGGAGCTGTATAGGAGGCGTTTCCTTCAATCACGGCCCCCATGAATGCATGCCACCAGAAATACGGAATGAAACGCTCACAAAGAAAGGACCTTCCTTCGATACCTCCAAAAGATCGGGTCGAAATTAAAAGCTATACATCTATCTATTCGTTAAAGATAATCCGTCCGAAAAGAATAAGGAATAAAGATATACTCTTCGCAGCTTCAAAGGGGTAAAAAAGCGAGGGTACGATCTCTCCCATAAATTTTTCTTAAAAAAAAAAACCACCATACAAAATTCTGCCATTAAGTCATCCGCCATGTTCCCCTGAACACCACCTTTGCTGGGTATCACATACTGCCCGATCCAAAACCGAAACATAGAAAAGCTATATGAAAGCGAAAAAAAAAAGCCCAAAGGAAATGGACCAGAGCCTCAGATACATGTATATATATATATAACATCAGCAACCCCTTATTGACCAAGCGTCCTCTCCAACTCCCTCTGACAACTCAAACAATAATCTGTATACCAATGCCAGATATCCTCTATCTCCGCCGCAGCAAACCGTTTCCCAAAACCCATAACAATATCGTCAGTGTCACCATTGCTCCTGTTCTCGCTATTATTTCCCTGTTCACGATCTTTCAACATAACTTCAATCATGTGGCACCTTTCAGTCTCCTGTTGAAGCCACCGTTCCCACTCAACTTGTACCACCTCTTTTTCTATCCGGTTCAGTACCCTTAATGCAACGAGGAGGTTGTGCCGGTAAACCCCCAGGCGATCCCTGGTACGTTGGAGTTGCTGTGCTGCTTGTTTTGTTTTTGTGTCCCGGCCAGCGGAAGGTTTAAGGAACCACGAATTATCTGTGGCTTTTAGCGCGTTGTTTTCCTGGAAAGTTGCAAAGCTAGAATAGATAACCAAAAATCAGCGACTGTGGGGTGCATGTGGCCGAATATAACAAGCTGTGAAATGAATGGACTGTGGACAATATGAGAAAATATCAATAAACATACCAAGAGCTTGAGTTATTCATTTCGATCCCGCTCGCATTAGCAATCACAGCATCAATATCCTTAATATACACTGCCTTGCTCATAATGGTATTAGGCCCAACCCCAATCCGGCTCATAAAATTGCCTGCATTGCGCTCTTGCCACCATTCAAGCGTATCATTGTACGAATGGAACCCATTGATGAGAACACTGAACACAAGTAGCAAGAGTATAATGCTGTGCGCACTGAATGCTTTCCATACCCATCTAATCAGTGCCCAGAGCCATATCATAAAGGAGGAAACTGCGCTCTGCAGCAAGGATCCGGACGTCTCTAGGAGTAGTGGGATGATGCCGCTTTGTCTGAGAGGCCGGCGAAGTCTTGATTTCAAAATTTGTAAGTCTTCGGTGAACTCAGTTACATGACTTTGGCGACCTATGTGGCCAAATTGGGCAATAGCCTTTTTCGTCTGGTTATGGGGGCCGAGTCTTCTAACATCTTCAGAGACAAGGTCCACAAGATCAAGTGCATCTTGCTCAAGATCGTTCATGGCTTGCCTGTCGATTATACCTTAATTCACAATGTAAGTTATTCTTAAGTCGGGCACGAAAATCTAGGACACAGGGCCAGAGTGCCAACTTACTTCGGATAAGGTATGGTTCCCATAACCATTCAACTTTGGTGAATATGGCAAGTTTACATCTGGACTTCGAAACATGGGTAATAACAATCTTGCTAACCAGCCTGAAATAACGTTTAAATGGGAGATGCCAGGGCGTCCGTTTGTCCGTAACAACGTAGCATAAGTGGCCATTCTGAACATCAATAATCTGATAGTCAGATACGTCAGTGAGGCGAAACCGTCCTATAATAAAAATTGTTAACTCGGGATCCTTACTCTGGGGTACGAAAATTGAACTTACCGAACGTATCAGCCATCTTTATCTGATATTGTATATCACGTCTCATATGCGCACCATGGCGATTCGACCAGGGACCCAGTTTAATATCTTTGTATCACCATATTAGCTAATGCTCATCCCCACGCATTGAAGATACATAACTTACTTTGGGCTCTCCGTTGATGTTGCAGCAGCTGCCAAACAACAGATCTATCCCCGAAAAGGATATGAAACAAGGCTTTCGCGCTGACGTCAAAGATTTTCTCCGCAGCCAAATTAGGAGCTCCCTGAGGCACATATTCCACTGGATGAGATGGTAACTTAAGTCGAGGTACGTCGAGATGATGGTTGTTATGACGGCCCAACTTGCCTTTATGCATATCCAGGCTCTTGTCGATGTGTATTGCCGACTTGAAAAGTGACTCTGGACGTTTGCCGGTGACATCATGCATTCCATCAATTGGGGTGTTTGGGGACACATCCTCCCAGCTCTCCGCACTAGGCGTCCTAGGAATATCCTGTTCCATTTTCACCAGCGTTTTGAATATGGCTTCAAGGTTAGCTGGCTCTTTCGCACATGTCATGGTAATAAGGTAATTCAATCGCTTTTGAATTAGCTTCCACGGCTCCAGAAATGTTTTTATGGTAAGTCGTCCTGGAATATCGCTTCCCTGGTCAGGGGCCAGGTGAAGGAATAAGAAATCGCAATCTCTACCCGGAGCGGCCGTGACTTCCGTTATAAGATCAAGACTGACAGAGTTTATCAGCACAAGATTGAAATGATTGCTGTAAAAGTAGATATTTTTCGTCGTGACAAAAGCTCGTCCAGGGAAGTCATGCTGGCCATTCGGGCTAAAACTTGCTCGGAATACAAAAACAAGAGCCTCATCCGCCGGCACACCAGGTAAAAGGAGCCGGAACTGGGAGTCGTGTGGTTTTAACTGTGCGGGATAATAACTGGGGTACTCATATGTGACTGCAGCAATGCCCTCTATGGCGCCTGAGTCGCCGCCACCAAGACTGACGGTTTGCCGGTGCTGAGGACCAGTTGGTGGTGCAGTGGTGTTGCCTGATGAAGTATCGACGGAACCGCTGGGCTAGAATGCAGTTATCGAGGTTAGGTGAATGCACACAGCCGCTGCTAAACATGTGGACAATCTAAAAAGGACATAGCATACCTGGTTAATAGTCTTCCCCGCTGAGGTAGATAATTTTTTACGCTCCAGCTTGTTCACATACCCCCAATTTGAACTTCCCCAAAGGTTTGCCAGTATACCGTTTGGTATCCCTACCAGCCCGTCTGACATTCTTATCCCAACTCCCCTTTCACTACTTACAATTACAGCTGCTCTACTCATACTAGTTGGGGCGGGAGGATTCGCCAACGTTGGCGGCGCGAGAGTGCCAATGGGTGAATCTCGAGCATTGTAGTTACTGGTCGCCAGAGCTTTGGATTTATTTTCGACTTCGGAGGCGGTGACTGATAAAGATGCGTTTAGAGGTAGAAGAGTGTGACTGGCAGATATTAGGCTAGCTATCCCGGGTGAACTAGATGGTAGCGATGAAGTTGCAGACTGCTGTAAGCCTGTTGCTGCGCGGCGGTGAATGTCGAGCTTCTGAATGAGCCTAGATCCATGGTCTCTCCCACCCTCCATCTCACGATCGAGGGTTGTTGATCGCCTTGCAGCTGGAAACTCGGTGCTATTTCGCACAGCCAGGCCGTCTCGATCAGTAGCTTGAACTGTTGAGCATCGGTCGAGAATGGAAGAAGACTCATCATTTGCGTTGGGCGTGAGGGACTCCAAGCTATCTGCAGCAAACTCAGGTGCAGGCGGTTGGGAAATTGAGAATGCTGGGTCTTGAGCTGGGGGCTTTCCAGGCAAAGGGGTAGGGCTGGGGCTATCGAGGGCTTTTCGCTTAGCCGCTTCGAAAGATCCAATCCATTCCGTGAGCTCCCTCTGAGTCTCAGCTTGTAGCATTATAGTATTATTTTTAGTCTTCACCTCAAAGCAAAATCGGCGTTCCTCCTGGAACGCAGGACGAATACTACATAGGAGAACCCCTATTCTCTCACTCTCCTCCACACCACCTGTTCGAGAACCTTGTACTAGACAGCCAAAAACACCACCGTTTAGAAAGGTCCAGCGCCGGACCCATGCTGTTCTCGCCGGTTTCCCCGTCAAGATTCTCAAGTTCAGCCATCCTTGCTTTTGTGGAGAGAAAGTGTGGTCCTTTGCCATTTTAAGGGAAGTGGGACCATGCGATCCAAGGTGTGGTACCGTAGAGACCGAGTAATCTTCAAGTTCACGAGAGGGGCGAACCGCGAGCTCAGCTGCTTCTTCGATCTGCTTCCGCGCAGCCAGCAGATCACGCTTTGACAACTTCTCGCTCGTCTCCATCTCATGCGTCCAGCCCTTTATGCGGTCCATCTCCTGGCCGTATTTTAAATAGGTTAAAGAATTGTTATCCCGCAAAATCTTAAACTCCCTCCACTGATCAAAAGATATGCGGACTATGAGCTTATCGAGGGTATTCTTTATCTGAGGTGCTTGAATGCAAAAGTCCATCGAAGCCTTTAAGTAAGCCTTATGAGCTTCGTGCAGCTGGAACGCATCTTCTCGCAGCGATGAAGGCTCTTTGGATTTGCCCTGGGCGGAAAATTTGGCCTGTAAGCTGTCATGTTGTTTCTGGGCTAGCTCAAGCGTACGGCGAGTTTCCTAACATAACCGGAAAGAGTTAATAAATAAACGATTAACGCCTAAGCGGGGTCATAACAGGGGGCGATAATAACAACGAGCGAGAAGCCACTGACCTTGAACTGCCGCAGATCATTCTGGATAAACGCTCGAATAGGCTCAGTAATCAAACTGTCCGACTTCTTGACATTTGACAATACTCCTGCCCAGAAATCTTTCACACTTTCTCCACACCGCTTCAACGCAAGTAAAGCATAATCGTGATCGACGACAGCTTCCGAGATGGCTACTGGAGCTGGTATGGAGGATATGAAGTTGTTGGCCACGGCTTCGAGCGACGAGAGCTCCGAACCCAGCTTCCCGGCACACCTAGCATATCCGTCCAGCCATTTCTCGACTAAATCGATCTGTTCGGCAAAGTGAACTGTTGAAGCGCGAAAAGTTGGGGAGTCGAGGGCAGCCTCCTTTAAGCCAACCGGGCTGGATGTAAAACCCGTGTTAGCATCTGGAAACCTACATAGACAGATATACGCAGGCACGACATGATAAACGTAACATACATAGCATTAATAACATTCCCATCCTGGGGAAGAGAGGATGCTGGCGGGGACGACATCTAGCAGAGTATCATACGTTTGCAGACCGCTGTTTTCGTAGATGGAATGAGGGAGGCGGCATTCATAAACGCCCCCCCGATGCAATTAGAAGACAGGCCACATGGCAAAGAGATACGCGTGCAGGAGGAATATATATAGTAAGAAGTAAGACATAGAAGAGAAGAGCAAGAGAAGAATGTTGTGGGATAGATGTAGTTGTTGGTGGTTGGTGGTTGAAGTAGAGCCGTCAATGGCGCGCTCTTAGGTTGTATCCGCCTTTCCACAGCGTCACTCTTCGCCAGTGGCCGAGCCGCTGCCAGCTGCTTCTGCTATTGGCCAACTAAGGATTAAGCTCGCTCCACCAACAAAGTGCAAAGAAATGAAATACGAAAAAAGGACCTAAGCCCCACCAGGAAAAAAAAAAAAAAAGATGTATGACTACTATCAGCGCTAATAAAGTGTTGACAAATAGGTTCTTTTTGCTGTATCTTCACTTTAACCTTTTGTGATTATTGCCCTCCTGTACCGGTTCTCTTAAAGAGAGGATCGGTTCTTCTGCGTTAAAACATGGAGCCACCGGCCAAAAAGCAGAAAAAGCAGCTGATGGACGATGACAGCGCTGACGACAGCAGCGACGACGGAGGAGCTCTGTTGGGCAACGGTGAAAATGTGGGATTCAAAATAAACGAGGAGTATGCCAAACGGTTTGAATACAACAAGAAGAGAGAGGAATTTCATCAGTGTGCGTTTGGGTCCCCTTGTTTTTACTCTAATTCTACTCTTCTAGAATTGGAAATTGACTTACCTGAAAAATTGCAGTGGAGGACAAATACGGAAAATCAGTCGGTCTTGGGAAGCGAAAAATGACAGGAGACTCTTCCGCCGAATCAGACGGATCAGAAGACTCCTTGTCCGAGTCTGAAGAAGAAGACGACGAAGGAGTGCTGGCAACCGAAGCCCTCGACCGCGAAATCTTCGACACCCTGAACGCCATTCGCTCCAAGGACCCCAGGGTCTACGATGCCAATGTGAAATTCTACAGGGAAATCAAAGAAACTGATGAGGAGACGGCTCGATCGGATAAGAAGCAGAAGCCTATGTTCCTACGGGATTACCACAGGGAGAATTTGTTGCGTGGTGCAAATGATGAGGAGAAGGATGAGGATGCGCCAAAAACGTTTGCACAGGAACAAGAAGAGCTAAAACGGGAGATTATTAAAGAAATGCATAATAACAGAGATGAGGACGAGGATGAGGATGGTGATTTTCTCATCCCAAAGACAAAGCCAACATTTCCGAATGCTACTGCTACTGCTACGAAGCCTGTGCAATTAGATGTCGAATCTGCGGATAAGGATCCGGAAGCTTTCTTGTCCAACTTCCTGGCTGCCAGAGCCTGGGTTCCTACAGAACGATCAAACTTCCAGCCTTTTGAATCTGACGACGAGGAAGAAGAACAAAATGCGGAGATTTTTGAGGAGGCCTATAACTTCCGATTCGAGGATCCCAACAAACTAAACGAGGCATTGGTCACCCATTCCCGAGACACTACTTCCAAATTCTCGGTTAGGAGGGAAGAACTAAGCGGCAGGAAGAAGAAAAGAGAGGCTGAGAGGCTAAGGAAGGAAGATGAGAAGAAGCAACGAGAAGCGGAGCGCAACCGTCTCCGGAAGCTGAAGATTGAACATATTGGAGAGAAGATTGAGAAGATCAAGGCTGCGTCTGGGCTTAAGACTTCTGATTTCAGTGATGAGGATTGGGCGCGTTTCCTTGACGATGGATGGGATGATGCGAAGTGGGAAGAGGAGATGAGGAAGAAGTTTGATGAGAAGTACTATGCTGAGAGGGAGGGTAGTGATGTCGAGGACGATGGCGCTTCCGGTAAACGAAAGTTGAAAAAACCCAAGTGGGATGATGATATCGACATCAAGGACTTGGTCCCTGACTTTGATGACGAAGAGGAAGTGAAAATTCAGCTTAGTGATATTGGCATGCAAGACGATGGAGAAAAGGACAACTACGAGGATGCTGACATGGACGACGAGGACGAGGACACCACTGAATCCAAGCCCCACAAAGATAAGAAGAAGGCACTACAGGACAAAAAGGGGAAACAAAAAGAATCAAGAAAAGAGCGCCGCAAAATCGAACAGCTCGTCGACCGCAGCCTTGACCTAGACCTTGCCACCGCTCAGCTCCCAGGCTCCTCGAAGAAGTACAGCGGCCTCTTCCGCTACCGAGAAACGTCACCCATGAGCTTTGGGCTGACTGCCCGAGACATCCTCATGGCGGATGACAGCCAATTGAACCAGTTTGTCGGGCTGAAGAAACTGGCGTCGTTCCGGGACCCGGAGAGGAAGAGGCGCGACCTGAAGAAGATGGGGAAGAAGGCCAGGCTACGACAGTGGCGCAAGGAGACGTTTGGAGATGAGAATGGCTTCGCTGAAGAGGTTGCGCTGGCTCGGGCTTCGGCTAAGATACCGGACAAGAATGTGGCTGATAATAATAGGGAGAATAGGAGGGATGGTGGAGGGGGGATGGAGGTGGATGTTCGGGAAGGTAAGAAGAAGCGGAAGCGGTCGAAGAAAAAGCACTGAAAAGGGATGCGTTGCTACTATGGCTATGTTGCTGTATCTTAATGGTTTGGTACCTAACTAACTATAACTAACTATATCGATTGTGATTTTTAAGCTACATCCTTTATTCTGGTTCAGTGGAAAAGTTTAACTACATGGGAGATAGGCAAAATTTACGTTCCACGCAAGAAGAGTGGCATAAAAGTTAACTATGGTAAAAACGTAACGCCAATCAGACGAAGGATGTTAGGATTGATCAGAGATCTTGGGCTGTGTGAAGCATGAACCGGGTCACTTGATTATGTGTGTAAACAAAGACAGCACCAAATAAAGATCTATTAATTATGTGTGCAAACAAGGACAGCACCCAAATAAAGATCTACCAAAGAAGAATACTCCACATTTTATATTGAGGTCATAGGAGCAAATAAACAGCCTGAGCTTGATTATTGATTTTGCTGTTAATTATTCTCTGATGCGATTTTCTCTCGACTGTTTGTTTAGTTGCTCTGTATGAACGCAGTACAGACATCCTGCCCCCACAGACGATCTTGGTAGAATTCCCTTTTTCTCGGCTAAAGACATTCTGCCCATTCCCGCATAATTCAGTAAATTTTATCAATAGAAAGTAAATATAAAATAAATAAATAAATAAAAAATAAATATCCCACAGCCCAGCTTGGTCCGAGGTGGAGCCCTTCCCGCGATCGGAAAATGTCGGCTGTTGCAGCGTGTGGCCCAAAGCGGTTTAGCGCGCTAAAATCCTTCTCCTGCCCTGCCAACCGCATTTATTCCGCTTCTCACTGCAAAAATTTTTTTCTCCTTTCTCCTCTCTTCCATCTCCCGGTTTTGACCACCTCATCCATCCCTCCCGCCATCCAGCCATCCCTCAGAGGCAGTCTCTTGTGGTTTTCTGCTTTCACTCTCTCATCCTCTATTCTCCCTCCAGACTTTCCTTTTTTTTTTTTTTTTTTTTTTTTTGTTTCGCCATAGCGCGCCTTCACATCACACAAAATGGCTCAAGATAAGTCCTTTATGGGCATGCCCGTAAGTTATCCCCATCGCCCCCAATCAGAATCCCTGCGCCGATTTCCGCCACTTTAGGGCACTGCGCATCATCGCTTCTGGTTACTTGCATGTCTTGGAAGGCCTTGGGAATTGATGATGCTCTGTTGTAGGGTTGAGAGATGCCCTCTCAACCCTCTGTTGATGACTTGTCCATGGGATCTCCCTTTCCATCGCAATTTCAAATTAGCGGCTAATGTATCCATTACTTTCCCCTGTAGGGCTTCGTCGTCGACTTCATGAGTACGTCCCCATATCCTTATCGCGTTAATTCCATGATAGCCATTGTCGCGGCATTGTACCACCATGATCCGCTGAACGCATTGTGAACAATGTAATTTTCGTTGAATGGGCCGGAACTAACATGATGCGACCTAACAGTGGGTGGTGTCTCCGCCGCCGTGTCGAAGACTGCCGCTGCCCCCATCGAGCGTATCAAGCTCCTCATTCAGAACCAGGTAAGTGGCCAAAGAAAATAAACGCAGAAACCAACACCAACCCTTAAATTTTAGTTAAAAAAATTGTTAAATTGATCCTAACAGATTGTTTTAGGATGAGATGTTGAAGACTGGCCGTCTTGACCGCAAATACAACGGTATCATGGACTGCTTCAGCCGAACTATGAAGAACGAGGGTATCGTCTCTCTGTGGAGAGGAAACACCGCCAACGTCATCCGTTACTTCCCTACCCAGGCCCTCAACTTCGCTTTCCGTGATACCTACAAATCCATGTTCAACTTCAAGAAAGAGAGGGATGGATATGCCAAGTGGATGGCTGGTAACTTGGCTTCTGGTGGTGTAAGTATTGACTATTGAGATCACCATAATACGATAATACGAGGTTGCAACTCCACAGGAGCAATTCTAGGAAGTACTAACTTGATAATGTCAGGCTGCTGGTGCCACCTCTCTCCTCTTCGTCTACTCTCTCGACTACGCCCGTACCCGCCTTGCCAACGACGCCAAGAGTGCCAAGGGTACCGGTGAGCGTCAATTCAACGGCCTCGTAGACGTCTACAGAAAGACCCTCGCGTCTGATGGTATCGCTGGTCTCTACCGTGGTTTCGGTCCCTCCGTTCTTGGAATTGTTGTCTATCGTGGTCTGTACTTCGGCATGTACGACTCCATCAAGCCTGTCCTGCTTGTTGGTCCTCTTGAGGGCAGCTTCATCGCCTCGTTCTTGCTCGGCTGGGGTGTCACCACTGGTGCTGGTATTGCTTCTTATCCTCTGGACACTATCCGTCGTCGTATGATGATGACCTCTGGTGAGGTATGTATAATCCTCAAGTCATCCGCGTTGAATCCTTAACATGACCGATCTTTCTTTGTGCTGATCCACAATCTTTTCGCAATCAAACAGGCCGTTAAATACTCTTCTTCTTTCGATGCCGCCCGACAGATTGCTGCCAAGGAAGGCGTCCGATCCTTCTTCAAGGGTGCCGGTGCTAACATCCTCCGTGGTGTTGCTGGCGCTGGTGTGCTCTCCATCTACGACCAGGTCCAGCTCCTCCTCTTCGGCAAGGCTTTCAAATAAGCGTATGTACTATTTAATTCCTTCGATACTAATTCACTTGTGATTGAGTGGATGAGTTGGGTTGTGGGTGATGTGATGGGTGTGTGAAGGGGGTATGTGGGATGTGGGATGAGGATTTGAGGGGCTTGAGCGTTGTATGAGATGTGAGACTCAAAAGAAAAAAAAATAATAGAAGAAAATATGTGCGTCAAGATCGGTTTGATCTTGGAGCATTAAAGCAAATATGTTTTTTTTTTCTTTTCCTTTTTCACCTGTTGTAACTTTACTATACTGCTTGTGAGCTTTTCCCTCTCTGTACTTCCTCTTGTTTGATTTTGGCATTCAATCAATTCTCTCTCACGTTTTCTTTTCTCTATATGTTTCCTAGCTGTTTTTTTTTTTTTTTTTTCACCACAATTACGCTGTGTCTGAATAGAGAATGTTCCTTTTGTTAAATGGGTCCAACAAGTAGAGATTTGTTGTATTCATCCTTCAATGTTACTTCTGCTAGAATGTGGCAGCTACATTCCTTCCTCCTGCTTATGGAACTGTCAACACAGGTTAAACTACCTAGGAATTTTGGAGTCCACGTGACTGATGACGTCAGCCTCAGATGACCTGGTCATTTGGAACATCGAGGATGTTCAGAACTTTCTCTCAGTCATTTATGTTCTAACATCCATTTCAATTGTACAGTTCTATCATAGATTACTAGAATTGCAAATCCACCATCATTTTCTCGCTGTTATCCAAGTCATACTGCCCACCTCCAAGCGGACACATCTCAACAGACTGCATCTAGCAAACGAATGTCAACTGAGTCTTAACTCCACTACGCAAGGAAACGACACCACCTGTTAACATCTACATTCCCCATCCATGACCTCTTCCGCTCCTATCAACAGTAATTCTGATGCACCGCCCGAAGCCCACGATTCCTCCTCTGTGATGGAGGGGCCAGACTCTCTCTCACCGGCATCCACGCAGACAACCACTATCTCCCCCAGCGTATCAAACAAAACATCACCTCCTGCACCTGTTCCGGGAGCAGTACCAACGCCAGCGCAAAACCCCGCTTCTCTACTAACCCAAACCATTCCTATAATTGGAGCCGGAAAAGGACAAGAAACCAGCCCCACCTCGAACCTCAATCTTCAATCCATCCCTCCACCGCCAAAACCAGGTCAAATCCCCTCTCAACCAACTGCTCACGCCACATCCCCACCTTCAACCCAACCAACGCATACCCAACCCAGCCAACAATCCCTCTCCCATCCGCCAGGCTACATCCAAAACCCCTCTATAAGCGCACCCATCGACCCCTTCCACAAGCACTCCTACCCAGACGGCGCGCGTAGATACAACTACAAATACACCACTAACTCCAGCACCACTCCCGCCTTCTCAGTCTCTGCGGGCTCACAACCCGCCGCCACAACGTCAGCTACAGCTGTAGCGAGTCCAAGCGGTGTCCGTGGCAGATGGCGCTGGGACGACGCGCCCGGTGGTGCGGGGGGCAGGTATGAATATGTAACTGATGGGCGCGAGGAAGATGATGAGGGCGGTTGGACTGCTGCGGGTATATGGCGGTCAACTGTGGATTTGGCGAAGACGGCCGGAAATAAGTTGGCGGAGGCTGAGGAGGGGGTTTGGAGGTGGGTTAATCGGCGGTAGACACTGGGGTGGGAGTGGGAGTGAGAGTGGGAGTGGGGGTTGGGGTTGGGGTTGGGGTTGGGGTTGGGGTTGTTTCGATTTCTTTTCTGGCTAGGGGATGGGTGATCCTTTTTTTTTTCCCTTTCTTTCTTTTTGTAGTGAGAAGTTTTGGGAGAGGGGGAGGGAGGGATGGTTGTATAGTATGGGCGATGTCGGTTGGCTATTTTTTTATGGTGTTCTTTGGATATGCGGTGGGCTGGATTGTCCATCGTTTATTATTGTTATTATTATCCCGCGACGGTTTTATTTTTTGGTATGCTTAGCTGTCAATTCTTCTTCTCTTGATTGAAAGCCAGGATTTCACACCAGTGCCAGGCCCGTCGGGTGCACATGCCCACTGAATATTCTTATTGACCAAATCAAATTTCTTTATCAGTCAGGAAATGTAGCTATCAAAAATGATTGACCAAGTCGCAAATAGATAGATATTGGTATACTAGTGCGTTTTATTTATCAAGTTCTCTCAGAATGCAGGTCCAGATCAGGATAAGGAAAGGGAAGCATGAACGGCTGCTTTTAAGCATAAGAACCTGAAGAATCACCTAGATGCATAGGAAATAAATCCATAAACGGATATCTATCTATATATATATATTAGTATTAAAAGGAAGTTTTTATGTAATAAGTGGTAGCTATATATAGGTAGTGGTAGTAGTGGTAGAAATCCAATTGCAAGGGCGTAAATAGAGGGGTCGATCTTTAAAAAAGGGTCACAAAACATAAGAAGACATGCTCACTCAAAATCAAACTCTCATCAAAAAAGAAATTCAAAAGGACTTCAAGTACTCTCAGTACTGTACAATGAAGACGACCGAGGCAGTATGTGAAGCATGAGAAAGTAAAAAAAAAGAAAAATAGAGAGAGAGAGAGATAAGATCCACATGAGAGAAATAAAAGCACAATCAATAACTCAGTGCAGTACAGTTAAGTTGACCAAGTTATTTTGTTTTTTGTGTCTCTCATTTTTCTAAAAAAAATTTTGTCCCTCTCCCTCCTATTTCTCTTTCCATTTGCACCTTTCTCAAAAGAACTTCTCAAATGTCAAATTGATACTCGAGATCCCATCCTTTTTTTTCTTCTGTTCTGTGGTTTGTTTAATTAGGTCTGCCCTGGGCAATGCCCTTGGGCTATTAAGGAGCTAAAAAGAAGACAATACAAGGGAAATAAAGGAGGAAAAGAGGACCTGTTGATGGGGAATATGATGAAGCATCAAAGAAAGCAATATGAACAGAATACAAGAATCCTTGGACAGAAACTTAAGAATTAGGCATGGTATGTATGAGCCAAAGAGATGGTGATCTTTTTGGTTTACATCTCGGGTGGGGATTCCAAGGGGTGTTGAAGATATCAAATGAACCAGCAAAAGACAAAGACGGTGTATCAAGGGTGCTTATAGCACCGGAGTGGAGAGTATTCGGGAGATGAGCAACACGAAAAAGGAAAAAAACCTTAAGAGCACCACAGAAACCCAGCTAGGGCGAAGCTGTTACTTCATTTAGTGATTTCAAACGCCTGAAAAAAATTGATCTTCATCTGTCCCCAATGATTTGTGTGTGCCTGGTATGTCCTAGGGAGTGGGAACCCAAAATGAAGGATATCGATACAGCCAAGGAAACAAGAAAAAGGGCAACTTAAAAAGCAAAAGAACAAGTGGCCTCGTGGTAATGCAAATGGGGGATATAGACACTTGAGAAAAATGCACAAAAACAAGAAAACAAAAACCACAAAAAGAACGAAAAAAAAAGTTGAAAAAAACGCCATTATTTGATGCAGTCACCGAAGGGCATTTTAGCCAGCCAAACCCAGTAACGTAACCGCGAAAAGGTTTGTTTTTCGATCCACTGTCCCCATGTGGTTCATGTTTGTGGATCGAAGCGCGTCGTCCCTTTGTTCCCACCGGAGTTTAATTGGGTCAAACTTTGGGTGAGTGGTTACGGGGGAGGAGCATCGGTAAATCGTGATGATAGGGAATTATTACAGTAAACAATAAAAAGGTAATATTAGGAAAAGGAACATAAAATGGGGGTTCAGCCTGGTCCGGTCCGGCCCAACCAAAAAGTAAAGTTTGGATACATCAGAGAATGGTATGTTGAATATGCGGTAATTAGAGCTTGGGTAGTGCATTGCTTCGTGTTGCGTTGCGTTGCGCGTCGAAATGTTCCCAGTAAACGAATGAAGAGAACTGAAATGTAAAATGGTATTACATAGAACCCAGTTTTAGCAGTGCTTCGATCGCAGCGCGTTCCTCGACGCCACCACCAACACCATCCAAAAGGGAAAAATCAATTGGCTGAATAGGAATCCCACAGGGGGAGGATTTGGTCAGGGCCGAATAGGAAGGTCCGCCACCACGATTCCGTCCCCTGGAGCCCTTGGTGTAGGAAGTGTAATGATGGCGGCCATATTTATGATTCATACTGTCGTTGATATTCGTAAAACTACCGCCCTCAGGGGCGCTAGGGTAAGACCTAGCCCTGAGGGCGGCTGCTCCAATCTGCGCCCAGTCCTCTTCGTCCGTTAGGTCTGCCTCGTCCCAGTCTCCGTCAATCGGTATTTCATCCTCAGGAGCTTCGGACGAGGAGCAATAAGAAGATGCCCTATCATCCCCGTCGCCGTCGAGGGACATTTTGTCCGCCTCGTGGTCTGCGTAATCGAAATCAGAATGGGAGAATACAGCTGAATCCCCTGCCATGGACGAGCCATACTGGCCGGAACCGTCCCTTATCTTTCGACCAGGAGCAGTGGCCGGGAGCTGAATTCTTTCGTGGTAATATGATGATGGCGCACTACCAGGAGGGGATGCGGGGTTATCTCCTCCGCTGCTTGTGGGATGTCTGGGTGGCTGGTTACGACGCCGCGCCTCCCACCGGCCCCATCCGACTTTTTCAAATTCGACATCACCATCGACCCCTGCGCCTTCACCGTTGCCGTTGCCTCGACCTTCCAGGGCACCCACAACCAGTCTGCGCGCTTTGGCCGGAGGGATCCTGGAGAAACCTGGTACCGACGCGGTCAGGTAGCCAATGATGTGTCGTATAGCAAGGGGGCCATGGTTCAAAAGAATGTCGGGGAGATGGTTAGTAGCCAGCATTCGTGGGGAGATCGGGTCCGACCCGGCCAGGGAGCTCAGGTTCTCGGCCACCAAGGGAGTATGGTGGTCCTTGTCCTGGCTTTTCGCGCGGTCGACAGCGTCCTGCAGGTCAATATCGGAATCCGCATGCAGGGAGGAGGCATAGGGAGAGGATTCTGGGAGGCTCGATTGGAGGATTTTGAAGCCATTCGAGTATATGTTCGGGGAGACAGAGTGCGGTGGAGTAGGCAACATAGCGGGCTGGCCATGACGATGGTGACGGGTCTGGACAGCCACAAAGCTGTCCCTACCGGAAGCGAAGCCACTGTCACGCGGCTTGGGGATCTCAACGGAGGCGGTCTTGCCAGCAAGAGCCATAGCAATGCTGGACGAAGCTGAACGAGTCGCCATGATTGCAGATATAAGGTGAATTGGTTTTAGTCTGTTGATGAGAGCAAGAGTGTCCTGAATTAGCAAAGAGTCAGACAAAGTAGATATACACTTTGCACGCCAAAAAATAGAGACAATACGGATTTAAAAAAAAATATTGAAAGAAACATGACCACCAGTCTCAAGTCAATGCAGATGCAGTGATGAAAAAGACAGGTGCAGTGACACAGCAAGGAAGAGACTGAGAAAGACAAGAAGATATTAGAGTGATGAGCATAAAAACATACACCAGTCAAGAATATCCACAGTTAAGTCCAAATGGTTAACGTGAAGGGGAAAAGCGAAGACGAGAAGGGCTAGAAGCTCAAGCCTCAGTAGGATGCGACAAGAGAAAGAGGAGAAGCAAGGATGGAGGTTGAATCACAAATGACGGGGTGTCACTTGAATAAGATGGAGATGCTAGAAGACAAAATAAAGGAGGAGGAGGAAGGAGGAAGAAGAAGAAGAAGAAGAGAGATAAGCCAAGAAAAAGAAAACCCGGCTTGATTAGATAGGTGAAGAAAGAGGATAAGAAGGGAACACTCGCAGTCTGTGGTGAATTCAGCTGACGGTTGATGACGTTTGATGTTGATGTTGACCGAAAAGAAGAACAAGAGGAGAGAAAGAAAAAGAAAAGTTGCCCCAAACCAGAGTCACGACAAGGGAGCGTGTGTGCAGGTGGGTACTTCCCCATACAAACAACTGAGGAGAGGTACCTGGGCTTCCATGGGAACACCCGAACATCGATGAGGCGCTGTCTGCAATCATGGAACGGGCTGTGATTGGCTGTGATACCGGAAGGTATATTGTATCACGTGATATAGATAACCGGGCTGTGGAGTAATTTATCGGTAATGGCCCGTATGGGTATCCCGTAATTGTGAATCCCGATGACGAAACACAGCGCTGGGTCTGGGCCCCATAATCCCGCACAAAGAGATTGTATCGCGTTTGTATCGTATCCCCTCTTAAAGTTACCCCTCACCGCGAAAATCAGATGATTCTCTTCTTGTCTCTAGGGGTATTCTGTACCGAGCACTGTATTAGATGTATCTTTAACTAGCGCTACAAATGTTTTTCTTCTTTTGACGTTCTAGTAGCAGGATTAAACTAGGGACATCCTCTTATCGTTGCTCGGATTGCCCACGTTGATGAATCCTCAGATCAGGACGGGAGACTTGAGAGTTGCCCAGCTGCTAGGGTCGCCAAGGTAAAATAGTGATTACCTGAGTGTATTACTTGATCATGTCCAATTTTTTTTTTCTTCACCCTTGCTTCTTCTTTATATAACTATCCCACGCCTTCTTTGCCTAGGCCCGAGGAAACAGTTCTCCAAACTGGCACCAGCAGGCAATCGTCAATCTAAATTTATCACACTGCGATCAATACGTATGTATGAAAGTGCAGTTCAACACTTGCATGCTCACATACATTGCTGCTATATTGGTCACCTGTTCTACAG